AGGGAGAGAGATAGAGAGTTAGAAACATCGATAAGAGAGAAACATCGATCAGCTGCCTCCTGCACATCTCCCACTGGGGATGTGCCCGAAACCCAGGTACATGCCCTTGACCGGAATCGAACCTGGGACCTTTCAGTCCGCAGGCTGATGCTCTATCCACTGAGCCAAACCGGTTTCGGCTATAATATATTTTTAATGTGGCTAGCACAAAGGATTCAGGAAAAGGAAATGGGTTTACAAATTTTGTGGAACACAGGCATAGATTGTGACAGTATAACCAGTGTCTTATTATACTAATGAAATTCTATACCTATAGATACATAGTAAAATTAGACAGTTTTATTAAGTTAAAATTTAACCTTTCTATTTTCTATACTTTTTTTTTTACAGCAGTGACTGGGCAATAATGTCAAAAAGCCATAGTTTGGAGAAAAGATGTTACCAAGAAGCTCACCATTAACTGGCCTGATCCAAAAATGAAAAAAAGAAAAAAAATCTGCTCTTTTTCCTCTCCTTTTGTTATGGCTTAAAGCTTTCAGTTTCACAAACCAAAATAAATCCTGTGAGTGAAAGTATGTAGGCTTGTGTCTGCTGATTCTTCTACCTGCTGGGATCCTTTAGTGCAGTGGTTCTCAACCTGTGGGTCGCGACCCCTTTGGGGGTCGAATGACCCTTTCACAGGGGTAACCTAAGACCATCGGAAAACACATATATAATTACATATTGTTTTTGTGATTAATCACTATGCTTTAATTATGTTCAATTTGTAACAATGAAAATACATCCTGCATATCAGATATTTACATTATGATTCATAACAGTAGCAAAATTACAGTTATGAAGTAGCAACAAAAATAATTTTATGGTTGGGGGTCACAACATGAGGAATATTAAAGGGTTGCGGCACTAGGAAGGTTGAGAGCCACTGCTTTAGTGGAAAATAAGTGGTTTTGCCTCTTTTGAAGGAGGGAGGCTGTTACATCCCAAGGAGGACATTCCTTTGTCCACTGCAGCTGCCTGCCTTCAGATGCCCAAGGCCATGCTAACTGCTCCCATCACAAAAGAGGACACCTACAGTCCACATCTCTCCAATACCTTGTGATTCCCTTCCCCATCCATTCCAGGCTTGGGATTTGAAGTGTTGCCAAGTAAGCCCAACCCCAAGCCCCCAGAGAGTCACTAACATCCCACTCATCTTCAAGGAATTGCTCCCACTGAGTTCCTGGTCATAGATAACTCTTCTTTCTCCAGGAGACACTTCGTTGGCCTCATGTAACTTGGGATCTATTCTAGGCTATATCTTTGTTCTTTTGGGGACCCGGGTTTGCTACTCTTTCTTTACTTGAAGCTGAGCTTTTCTGGGTAAGATTTTCTTGCTTTAGTGTTTGTTGCCTCCCCTTCTCACTCTTACTGCCATAGGTCACTTCTGCTCAACCCATTATACATGGATTAGAAACCATCAGCCTCCCTGGAGATAATTAGGAACTGGGCATTTTCCATCAGTACGCAAAGATGCTCCTGGGTCAGGGGTGGGATCTCCTTTTCTAAATGTCCATCAACTATGGAGGTAATGATGCTTTTGCCAGAATAATTTTAGAAAACTCTAAGGGATCAAAGCCTGTCTGCAATAAGCAATGAGAAAATGGCTTTTGAGAACTTAAGATTTTGAAGATTTCACATTAGAGTATACCTATGTAAGTTTTAATTGGGTTATTTCTTTTCTTGCTATTGAGTTCCTTATATATTTTGGATATTAATCCCTTACCAGATATAAAATTTACAAATATTTCCTGGCATAGCATAGCTGGTCTCTTCAGTCTGCTAATTTTTTCTTTTGAAATGTCCATCAACTATGGAGGTAATGATGCTTTTGCCAGAATAATTTTAGAAAACTCTAAGGGATCAAAGCCTTTCTGCAATAAGCAATGAGAAAATGGCTTTTGAGAACTTAACTCTGTCATTGAAGATTTCACATTAGAGTATACCTATCTAAGTTTTAATTGGGTTATTTCTTTTCTTGCTATTGAGTTCCTTATATATTTTGGATATTAATCCCTTACCAGATATAAAATTTACAAATATTTCCTGGCATAGCATAGCTGGTCTCTTCAGTCTGCTAATTTTTTCTTTTGCTGTGCAGAAGCTTTTTAATTTGATGCAAAATTTCATTGTCTATTTTTGCTTATGCCACCTGTGTTTTGAGATCACATCCAAAATACCGCTGTCCAGATTATGATCAGAAAGCTTTTGCCTATGTTTTCTCCTAAGTGTTTTAGGGTTTCAGGTCTCATGTGTAAGTCTTTAATCTATTTTGAGTTTATTTTGGGGGTAAGAAGCCAGATGAGGGTCCCATTTTATTCCTTTGCATAGGAATATACAGTTTTCCTAACACCACTTATTGAAAGGCTTATACGTTCCCCAATGTGTTTGTTCCTGGCAGTCCTGGGCTGCTCCCACCTTTTAGCTATTGTGAATAATGCTACTGTAAACATTAGGGTACAGATATCTAATTGAGACCATGCTTTCAATTCTTTTGTGTGTATACCCAGAAGTCAGGTTGTACTGGTCCATCCATATGGTAATTCTCTCTTTAAGTTTTTTTGGGTAACTTTTTCACAGTAACTGCACATTTTATATTGACACTCTTTGTGCACAAATATTCCAATTCTTATACATCCATATGAACACTTAATATTTTATGGTTTTTTTTAATAGTACCCTTCCTAATTGGTATGGAGTGGTATGGCATTGTGGTTTTTGATTTGCATTTCTTCAATGATGACTGATGCAGAATATCTTTTTCATATACCTTGTGGCCATTTATATTTCTCTTTGTTGAAAGTTTTGTTCAAGTCCCTTGGACATTTTGACTCAGATTATTTGTTGTTCTTTTCGTTGTTGAATTTTAGCAGTTTCTATATAATCAGAATTTTAATCCCATATAAGATTATGATTTGCAAACAGATATGTCATTTGCAAATATATTCTTTCATTGTGCGAGTTGCCTTTTTACTCTGTAGGGTCTCTTGATACACAAAAGTTTTTAATTTTCATGAAGTGCTATTTGTCTGTGTTTTTCTTTTGTTGTCTGTGCCTTTGATGTCATATCCAAAATAAATCATTACCAAACCCAACCAACTTTGTGGAGGTTTTTTTTTTCTGTTTTCTTTGAAGACTTTGTAATTTATTTTCTACATTTATGTCTTCTATTGCTTTTGGGTTAATTTTTGTATGTGGTGTTAAGAAAGGGTCTAATTTTTATTCTTTTGCATTATGAATATTCAGCTTTTGCTGCACTATTTGCTGAAAAGATTGTCCTCCCCCCTTTTTTTAATCAATCAGCAGATTTTATTGTTTTTCTTTTTTTATTATTTTTTTCTTTATTTATTAAGGTATTACATGTGTGTCCTTATCCCCCCATTGTCCTCCCACACCCTTCCCCGGCCCCGTGACCTCACCTGCCTAGTGTCTGTGTCCATTGGTTATGCACGCATACAAGTCCTTTGGTTGATCTCTCCCCTTTCCCCCACCCTCCCCTACCTTTCCTCTGAGGTTTGATGTTCTTCTCGATGCTTCTCTGTCTCTGGATCTGTTTTTGTTCATCAGTTTATGTTGTTCATTATATTCCACAAATGAGTGAGATCATGCAATATTTATATTTCTCTGACTGACTTATTTCACTTAGCATAATGCTCTCCAGGTCCATCCATGATGTTGCAAATGATAGGAGTTCCTTCATTTTACAGCAGTGTAGTATTTCTTTCTGGATTGTGCACTGTTAAATGTATAGAAATGTAGTATTTTTGAGTGTTGATTTTGTATCTTTCTATTTTTCTGAATCCATTTATTAGGTCTAACAGATTGTGTGTGTGTGTGTGTGTGTGTAATATTTAGGGTTTTCTATGTATAGGATGATACCCTCTGTGAAAAGATATAATTTACTTTTTCCTGTTCAATTTGGATGCCTCATTTTTTTCTGCATAATTTCCCTGCCTACAATTTCCAGTACTCTGTTGAATAAGAGTGGCAAAATGGGCATTCTTGCCTTCTTTCCCATTTTAGAGGTAAACTTGTCACTCACCATTGAGTATGATACTAGCTATAGGTTTGTTCACCTGTCTTCTATTATTAGGAGGTAGTTACTGCCTGTTCCTAGCTTGTTGTATGCCTTTGTCATAATGGGTATTTAATTTTATCAAATAGTTTTTTGTCCTTTTATTCAGATGATCATCTTATTTTCCTTTGGTTCACAGGCTGATGCACTATCCACTGAGGCAAACCAGCTAAGGCAATAAAATTCTTTTTTTATTGTTCAAAGTATTACATTTGTCTCCTTTGTCCCCCTATTGGACCATCCTCTCCGCCCCAGCCACTTCCACTAATGAGGGCAAGCCTCCACAGCCCCAGTGTCCGTGTCCATTGGTTATGCTAATATGCATGCATACAAGTCTTTGGTTGATCTCTAACCCCCCTCCCCTGCTTTCTCTCTGAGGTTGATGGTCTGTTCAGTGCTACCTTGTCTCTGGATCTATTTTTGTTCATCAGTTTATGTTGATCATTATATCCACATATGAGTGAGATCATGTGATATTTATCTTTCTCCAACTGGTTTATTTCACTTAGCATAATGCTCTCCAG